GACTGAAGGAGAGCTGATGTGGTTCCACCTTTTAATGAAGGTGATGGACATAACCCATAACTGCTGTGAGGCAGCAGTGCCAACCATTGAGTCACCATACCACCTCATGGCAAAAAAGTGACTAATTTGTGAATGTTCCAGGCCAGGAGAGTTTGAATAAAAATCTGTAAGTTTTCGCAATTGAGTAAGTACAGACCCTTGAATTCATTCATGACAGCAGACTCAAAGAAATCATCAAATTATTTCCACAGCCAATGTGAAAGAACTTGGAAAGAGTCAGTTAAGCAGTTGTGAAAGTTGAGGTGGGGGTGCTAATTTCTCAGTTCAAGTTTCTGCAACATATCATGTTCAGAAACAGGTTGAAACTTTGTTTTGATGTTTGTGATGATATTTTTAACTTTAGTATATGTATATGCATAAATATGGATAGAACTTGGTTTGTTCTCTTTCTTTTGTGTAACAAACTTACATACTGTTCTTATAAAAGCATCTGAAGCCTTGTGTAAAAAAAATCACTGACTAACCACCATGCTGACTAACTGCAAAAATCAAAACTATGATCTATGAAGCCCACTTTTAATCTGGGATTTAACTTGTCCAATGGTACCATCAACTGGGATCATAACAATTGTTATGAAGCTCCTAATTAATAGAAACTGGGTCTCTGTCAATCAGCTGACATAAGCAGAGAATCTGCTATTACGCAGATACGGAACACAGATCAATGTCCTTACTAAGTGTCGACTATTTCTCACTTCTCTGCAACATGATAAAATGCTCAGCATTGAAAGTGAACCAATGTTTTGCATTGAAAGTAATGTTCATTTTTATGTACAGAACATCATGCAAATGGAAAACTTAGTAGAATCTCAGAAGATATGCTCTATCCATCAAGAAAACTCAACATTATACTGCAGTGGTGAGCTTATCGCTCATCTATTATTCTGAGAGATGTGGTCTTTTGATAAATCTATCAGGCAGCATAGGTACATTTATCTCTGTCCAATTGCCTCTTCCATACACTATACAATGCATACTGATTCACCAAGGCATCCAAGCTGATTTACTGCTACATAATCGCTGAAATGAAAGTACATGCAGCATTTCAGTTTTGTAGTCTCCAGCAGGGTAATCATAATAGGAATGAAACATATAGACATTTATCCTGTAGCTGATGGAGCTATGCTACGTTCTTAATCTCTGTCTGAATAAGTGATCTGAAAGCATAAAAACTCATTTTTGCCCCTTTTATTTCATCAGGATTTGAATTCTCTTCTGTCCAAGATGGACAGGTATTTTTACAAGGCATTGGGAATAATGCCTGGACATGGGATGGGCATTAATGTAGGTTGAGAGAAGGCATGATAGATCTTTAGTCCTATTTTCCTTCACCACCCAATGAGCACTACAACATCAAGACATGACCAATGGAAAATCTCGATATAACCATGCCAGTCGATTTGTCCAGGATTGTTCTCCAACCTGTGGTGCCATCCAGAGTTTACCAAAATTCATGGTGTTAATGGGACTGCACATACAACTCTATCTCCACTTAGGATATACCCATCTGTCTGTATCTCCTGTGAACACCAGCATTATCACAGCCAAAAGGACATTATCACAGCTTTTCCACAATCTCAACCAGAACTGTCTTAAATTCTAGGTAACAGTGCTGACTGGCAACCTTTTTTGTTTTAAAACTGCCCCTCTTCAGGGATCAATATAATTTGCCTGACAGATGACCTACAGTTAGGATCCATTTGTAACCTTGTGGAGACAAGTATGAAATAGAAGGCAGCACGGCCATAGAATCAATGAATGTCTGCTTTCTAGGCTGTAGCCATTCAGTCATTGTGTCTTTAAGAAGCTCCCAACAACAGCAACTTACCTAATACCACTTCCCCCATCATCTCCCACTTAGAAAGTTATAACAAACTCCAATGGTACATTTTATCTCCAACCAAAGGAGCAGGAATACCTGGCTGTCATTTACCTCTAGGGAGCCGATGAAGTTTCCGATCTTGCAAAGCAACCATCAAAATAAGAGACACTTGGCTTCACGAAGGACCATCTCCCCTCAAAAATTTATGGTAAGAAAATAATAAAACCACTGAGCAATTTTGGTACCAAACTTATAGCTGAGGGAGTTTACCTTTACACAGATATAGGTGCTATTTAAACTTGAGCAGTAAACTCTCCTTGTCCTTTTTAACCTGTCTGAAACCACTGACATAATTACCCAAGCAATCTTTTCAAACATGAACATTTGTTTGGTTGAATGAACTGTCTTTGCCTGGTTCCACAATTACCTATCTGGTCATAGTCAGGGAATCTCCTATAATTGCCCCCAATCCCAAAACTTGCAAGGATCCATTTCTCCTCCATTAAAGTGGAATCCCTTGGACGACAGCAAAAAAAAATAGCTGTCCAACTGGTTTTATGTAGGATCTCTATCTGCATCACATAAGGCAAACTCCATGCCTTCCACAAGTGAGCACTCAAGTTCCCAGCATGAGTGAACAGTTTGCTGCTGCAGACTCCCATCCTCTACACTTTTTCAATGTTTTTCCATGTAATTGTACTAACCCAACAGGAAGGATGGAAATGCGACTGTGCAGTATTATTCCAGAGTGCCTGAGAGATCCTGGAATGTTGGGGAGAATATATATGTAAGCTTTCCTGCGGTCCCTCATTATCTAGCTGAACTGTGGAAGGTGAAGTTGTGGTATTGATTCTTCCATCTGATCCTCTAGTCATTGACATTTAGCAGTAAGTCAAACCACAGGTTAGCTATGCTGTAATGTCAGCAAAACTAAGAAGTCTTTGATGTGCTACTGTCATAAAGTTTGTTCTTTCACTCTGGAAGATTATGCAAGGCTTGATTTACAATGTAAATGAACCACTGTAATGCATAATATATGTCTCCATTTATTGTCTATAATTTACACAAGACCTTATTTTGATTTAAACGACTCATAACTATTTTGTTTACATTCTCTCTCCAAATACCGACATTGTTACACTTTGAAATCAAGGACTCACTCGAGAAAAAACTAATAATTCCTCCTGCAATGACTACACTTTACTTTGAGTACTTCACAAAAATCAAAGAAACACAGAAGTGTTACAGCACAGGTGGCCATTTGAGTCACTGAGCCTGAACCAACTTATTAAAACAACGTCATTACATAATGTCAATCTCTTACTTTATCCCTGTACCCTTGTATATTATTTTTATCCAAATAATCTCCCATTCTCTCTTTAATGCTTCAGTCAAAACTGCCTAAACTACACGTCTAGTCAGTATATTCCATGCCTTAACTACTCGTTGAGTGAAAAAATGTGTTTCCACTTCACCTTTGCTTCTTTTGCAGATCACTTTACATCTATGCCTTCTTGTTCTTGTTCTGCTTATGAACAGGACGAGTTTCTCCTATCTACTCTATCCAGACCTCTCACAGTTTTAAAAACCTTGATCAGATCTCCTCCTAATCTTATTGTCTTCATGAGGAACAGTTCTGACTTTTTGAATTTATGCACATTACCGATGTTTCTCATCTCTGGAAAAATTCTTATAAATAGTTTCTGCACTCTCTCCAATGTGTTCATATCATTCCTTTAATGTGACACTACAAACTGTACACAATACTCCAGGTGAGGTCTAACAAGTGTCTTATACAAATTCAACATCACCACCTTGCTCTTGTACAGTATCACCTTTTAAAGAACCCAACAACACTGTATGCCTTGCTTACTGCTCCCTTTACCTGTCCTGCTACTTTCAAAGAAATGTGTACATACACACCAAGGTACCTCTATTCCTACACCTCCCCTTAGAATTTAAGCCCCTGTTTTATATTGTCTTTCATGTTCTTCCTACCAAAATGCATAACCTCATCTTTCTCTGTATCGCGACTCACCTGCCCATTTCAACAACCTGTCTACATCCTTTTGGAGTTCCACACTGTCCTCAGAGTTTACAATTCATCCAAACTTTGAAATTGCCCCTGCTTATCAAGATTCAGATTATTAATGAATATGAAGAAAAGCAAGGGTCATAATAGCGACCCCTGTGGAACTCCACCAGAATCTCCCTCAAGCCCAAAAGCATCCATTGACCTTTACTCTTTATTTCATAGCACTCAGCCAATGTTGTACCCATGTTGCTACTAACCCTTTTATTTCATAAAATAATATTTCTCACAAGTATAACTTTATGTATTGTTAAAACTCAAGCACAATCATTTTCTTGTCCTTTATAACATGTCTGAAACCGTTAACATAATTGGCCATAGCAATCTTTTCAAATGCCTTAGAAGGTTCTTTTAATACATTTTAGCAACTCCCAAACTTGACCTTCAAAGGTCACAAAAGTCTCAATTTTTTTAACTGCAATCAGTGCTGAGTTACAGGACTGGTGTTTGTACAATTTCACAGATATAATACACCCAAGTTGTAGCTGTGTGAACTGTACAGAGCTAGCCACTGTTGCATGTTTTATTTGAGAATATTTTCTAAAGCCTCCAGGTGCAACATTTTTCGCACTGGTGAGTTTGAACAACAAATCTGAACTGCAGCTCATCCATGACAAAAAGTGATTGATGATTGAGGTAAGATGCTGAATGGGTCAAAAAATTCTTCATCTGCAAAATAATTGGCATTGACAACGCACCAGAACTTTTTCTCCCCCCCAAGGTCCTAAATCTAAACAAGATATTCAACTTTTCATAATTTCTCTACAATTTTATACAGATCATCAACAAAATAAATTAGCGGTTTTAGCGAGGCTTCTGTGTTTGAATATAAAATAACCAGATGCAACTACAGTAGAACTTGTTTCTACAACAGAAAACCAATCCCAAAATCTCTAGAACATGCCATTCCAAGTTGATGTGCCAGTAGAATGTTTGGTTTTGCCTACTGCTCATCAGGGTATTGTCTCTCATCTCTGGAACAATTAACTATGGGCTCAAGTGCGTCCTTGTCCCTTGTACACTCACATCAGAATTAAATCTTAGTTGGCAGATGTTGCATGAAATTACTTGTTTTCTTCTTGGAGGAAGAGGAACCCCAAACGTGTGATTTATCACTGCTTTCTGAACTGGGTCCATCTGTGAAAAAGGACAAGAAATTCAATTAGATTTCTTTATCTTCTTCAAAGGTCACAGCCTGACTTACTAAATGTTGTTGTGTATTTTAAAGATGGTCATTTGCTGCATCTTTTCACTCTCTAAACCTTCTCCTTTTTTTCATATGTCAAACCTGAGTGTCGGAATGGTTAAGTGAATTGCTTCTATGCTTTTGCCAGTGTCATTGAACTGGTTGCTAGAAAAGCAGTTCGAGTTTGGTTTTTCTTCACACCCTCCCTCCAGCAAAGTGTTTTATCTTCTTTCAATGTCTTCTCGCACTGAAACGGTTTTTGTGTAATGAACTGAGGACATAGACCTCTATATTAACATTCTTCCATATTTGGTTGGCACTTCATCATCCAAGTTATGCTGCGCCTAATATTTTTGGCTCCAAGACATGTTTTAAATCCAACAAGAATAGAAGTAATGCGAGCAATTGTAACATAATAGCTGATTGTGGAGGTTACTGTTAAAATGGAGGGTACCTCTGGCAGACCTGTTCTCTTTTTGTATGAACTTCTTAAGCTTCGCTATCAGCTAAGCTGGAGGTTGAAGCCCCACCAGTGCAATGCTGATTGTTTGGTCAATTTTGGTGCACACATATAAAGGCCCCATTGAAAATGTGCAAAGAGAAATTATTGGAACTCAATCAGTTGTATAGCTATTATAAATGAGTACTATATCATTGATATCAACCTAAATTTGACCATGTTATAGGTGAGGGCTTTTAATTTCTGGTTTTCTTTGAAGATCTGTAGTGGTTTGATGGAGGAGTGAAAAACCTGGTTATGATGTGCAATTTTAAGTCAAGGAATCGAAGATATTTACCCAGGACACAGATTGCCAAATTCTTTGTGACCCATTCAGTTGCTTGTCAAACAGCTAGCAGACTGCATAGGAAAAGATCGCCATAGACACTTTCAACACCCTGACCTGGTTAGGATGCCTTCGTATGCTTTTAATCATTCCTACTCATGTTTGATATTTCAGCCCTTTCCTTATCCACTTTCTCCTACCAATTAAATTTAAGCCTCTCAGTCAGGGTGGAAACTGTTTCCATCTTCCTACACAGTTCAAGTCGAGACTGCACCTTCCACCAATTTTAGATTGGTGTTGGTTTCAATTTCAGTTTCAGTTTCATGGTGGCACATCTATTCCATAAGATGTTAACATAGTGAAGGACAAAAGCAGGAAAAAAAGACCAAGAAGCTTAACAGAGTCAACATTCAACAGATCCAACCAATGCAGAGCAACAGTTCAGACAATAATTGAAATACTGAATAATCTAACAGCAGAATGAAAGCCAGAGAAAGTTCATGCTCAAACTGTACTGTGCAAGTAGAACCAGTTCTAGTCACCAAGACAGAGGAGAAAGGCACATTCAAGTATTGGAGGTATTTGAGAGAAGAGTAAAAGGAATGTTACTGGCATAAGAATAGAATTGTTGTCTAACACAAAATCCTGTCCTGACTGCTGGAATCACTGATATTAGACCATAAGACCATAAGACATAGGAGCAGAAATTAGGCCATTCGGCCCAGCAAGTCTGCTTCGCCATTCAATCATGGCTGATAAGTTCCTCAACCCCATTCTCCTGCCTTCTCCCCGTAACCCTTGATCCCCTTGATAATCAAGAACCTATCTATCTCAGTCTTAAATGTACTCAATGACCTGGCCTCCATAGCCTTCTGTGGCAGTGAATTCCATAGATTCACCACTCTTTGGCTGAAGAAGTTTCTCCTTATCTCCATTCTAAAAAGGTCTTCCCTTTACTCTAAGGCTGTGCCTTTGGGTCCTAGTCTTTCCTACCAATGGAAGCATCTTCCCAACATCCACGCTGTTCATATTACTAAATATGAAATAGTCAAGGATGATAATAAACAAGAGGTAATAATGACAACTGTTATTATTCCAACATTTACTCTTTCTTTGTTCACTTTGGGGATGTGCGTGTCAGTGGTAAGGCCAACATTTATTTCCCATCCTTAATTGAGCTTGGGAAGTTGGTGGTGAGCTGCCTGCTTGAACCAAACTAGTCCACATAGTATAGGTACACCCAGGCTGCTGTTAGCAAGGGAATGCTAGAATTTTAACACTTAATCATAGAATCCCCACAGTGAGGAAACAGGCCATTCAGCACAACAAGTCCACACGAACCCTCCAAACAGCATCTCACCCAGACTAAGACCCCTATCCTAACCCTGCATTTCCCATGGCTAAAGAACCTAATCTACACATCCCTAAACATTACAGACAATTTAACACAGCCAATCCACCTAACTTGCACATCTTTGGACTGTGGGAGGAAACCAAAGCACTTGGCAGAAACACACGCCGACACGGGGAGAATGTGCAGCCTTGATACAGACAGCCACCTGAGATTGGAATTGAAACCGAGTCCCTGGTGCTGTGAGGCAGCAGTGCTAACCACTGAGCTACCGTGCCACCCACTCCAACAGCGAAAGAAGGGTGACATATTTCCTAGTCAGGGTGGTATGTGATTTTGGAGGGGAAATTGCAGGTAGTGGTGATCCTGAGAGTCTGCTGTCCTTGTTCCAGTTGGTAGAGGTCAGGGGGTTTGGAGGTACTATTAAAAGTATCTTGGTGAATTGTTAATACACATTCTGTAGGTAGGACACATTGCAGGTACACTGCAACAGCTGTAGAAGAAGTGAATGTTGATGACAACTTCATTACATATATTAACAATAGTATAAAAATCTAACTGTAATAAATGATAAAATCTTTTTCAGTCACTTTGCCTGCAAAAATTTGCTTGGACTTCCTTTTCACCCCTGTAGGTTTAATATTCATGTATAGATCGAACAAAACTAACCATCCAACCAGTACATAGATAATTTGAAAAGTGAGAAAGAAAACACAAATTGGCAGTTTACCCCAGATGGCTGTCTAATCATCTGATCAAATTCTGCACCAGTCTTCACTATTAGGCAGTACTGATTGCAAATCAAACAGAAGCAGAAGGGGCTTTCAGATACAGCAACATTACAGAAATGGAGACTGATCAACAAGGTGACAGATGTTTCCTAATAGAAAGAAGGAGTCCAAGGTACTCAAGCTACAACAGATATAGCACAATTCTGATAATGTAGAATTTCATACAGAATTATCAAAGTATCTTCCATTCTTCATCAACCTTGCATACACACATACTCTCACTCACTCACTCACTCAACAATAAAAATACCCAGGGGTCTCTGGGAGTGATGGTGGAGCAGCAGAGCATATTTTGTTCTCTGTTCATGAGGTGCTGTAATCGGAAAAAGGAGCAGACAGCAATAACTCAGGGGTCTATGCTTCTTAAATGTATGCCACAATTACCAGGCAAGTCAGTCATGAAATGTAGGAATGTTCAGTTTGTTTTTACCCTCAAAGTGCCTGGATGATTGCAGCTCCAACAACATTGAACAAGCTCAACACATCCAGGGCAAAGCACTTTGTTTTATTGCTAACCCAACCACGCCTTAAACTTTGAGTTTTTTAGCATGTTAAACATGCATACCTCCACCACTCCTGTACACTGACTGCAATGTGTACTACCTACAAGATGCACTATAGCATTATGGCCAGCACGTGCCAACCCATGATCTCTGCCACCGAGAAAGACAAGTGATGTAGAAATATGGGAACACTTATCCAGGTCACACATTTTCCTAAGTTGCACATTGTCACTGAGTCAGACGCCTAGTCAGGTTCTTTAGTTATGAAGCAAATTTGATTTGGCTCTTTACAAATCTGATCTCATCAAAGTTTGGGGCCAGACAGACTATTTATTTACATAATTCAGAAATATTACTTGCCTATCAGTTTGAATTCTACTGTATAGTTAGGGTAGTGGCCAAGGCCCAAAGATCTTCAGCTGCTTCATCAATGATCTTCCTTCCATCATAAGGTCAGAAGTGGGGATGTTTGACAATGATTGCATAATGTTCAATACCATTTGCAACTCATCTACTGAAGCTGTCCACATCCAAATGCATCAAGACCTGGATACATTTTTAGGCTTGGGCTTAAACATGATAACTGACAGTCATGCCACACAATGGCCATCTCCAATAAGAGACAATCTAACCACTGCCCTTTGAAATTAAATTGCATTATCATCATTGAATGGTTTACTATCAATATCCTGGGGGCTACCACGGACCAGAAACTGACCTGGATTAGCTGGGCACAAATACGGTGGCTACAACAGCAGATCAGAGGCTAGGAATATTTCATCGTATGACTTACCTGCTGAAGCCCCAAAGCTTGCCCACAACATACAAGGCGCAAGTCAGGACTATGATCGAATATTTGCCTGGATAAGTGCATCTCCAACAACACTCAAAATGCTTAACACCATCCAGCATAAAGGAATTCATTTGAATGGCATCATTAACACAAATATTCCACTCCCTCCATCATTGACACTGAGTCCACACTGCTGCCAATATCTACAAGACGCACTGGAGAAATTCACCAAAGATCCTTAGACATCAACTTCCAAACACATGATAACTTCCACCTAGAAGGACAAGGGCAGCAGACACATGGGAATACCACAACCTGCCAGTGCCCCATCCTGATTTGGAAACATATCACCATCCCTTCAGTGTCAATAGATTAAACTCCTGGATACTCCATTCCTAAGAGTGTTGTGGGTCTACCTGCACCAAACGGACTCCAATGTTTCAGAAGGCAGATATCCTTAATTAATCCAGTCCCATTTGCCAGCATTTGGCCCATATCCCTCAAAACCTTCTACTTGTGTACCCATCCAGATGCCTTTTAAATACTACTCAGAGAGTAGTAAGGGCGTGGAATGCCCTGCCTGCAAAAATAATAGACTCGCCCACTTTAAGGGCATTGAAATGGTCATTGGATAAACATATGGATGATAATGGAATAGTTTAGGTTAGATGGGCTTCAGATTGGTTTCACAGGTCGGCGCAACATCGAGGGCCGAAGGGCCTGTACTG